ATTGAACTATGGACCATTATTTTGTAATAATTGCAATACTACAGATATATCTGAAGAGATATAATGAAATATTGAAAATTTTATGTGCTCTCAATAAACACAACTTTCTCTGTTAAGATTTATTTATTAATCAACAAAAACAAACTACAAAATAAAATAAAAATTTAATTACACGTTTCGTGCCTGCCAAATGAAGACAATTATTATATCAAATCTTCTATTAGAGTACTGACCCCAATAATAGACATACGTTGCGTATTTGATAGATTATTTTGTTTTATTTAAATTGTACGTTTATATTGATTATTGTTATTTTAATCTGATAAATGTCTGAGGTTCGAAATCGTTATCTACGCTAATGAAATATTCTCAGAGGAAGCTGTCTTAGTTATTCTGAGTATGGCAAAAAGGATCACTCATTTGTTGGCAATACGGGTTGTAGCAGTAGTGGGGTATTAAGCATGATATATGCCACTGTTGGCAGTATAGGACTATTTAATTAAAATTGTGTTCAACATTATACTTATGAGGTGTAAACTTGTCTGTGTGCAGAAGCCCACGCTTTTCCTTTTCTTCATTCTTCCTTCTTCTTCCATCCAAAGCCGGTCCTCGAAGCAGCGGCAGCTTGTCTTAACTTCCTTCTCTTCTTCCCAGATTAAAACGTGTAGGGCCTACAGCATCTTTCCACCCGTATACGAATTCCCTATAATGTGGGTTCTCTCTCTGCTCATTAGCTGAGGGAACATGCTCTCTGTCAGTGTATATACCCCCTTCTCTCAGGAGCTTAGCTCTTAGTGCCTCATATGCAGTGCATTCGACGACCACATGTTCGGCGGTCTTCAGAACGTTGCAGTTGGGGCATAGCGGATGAATATTGATCCCGCGTTTAACGAGTTTCGCTCGAAAGTCCCCATGTCCCGTGAGGAGTAATCCGGGAGGATCCATCTTGCATCTAATCGTGACTTGACCGTGGGGAATTACTTTCTTAGGGTAGCCCCCTTCGGAATCTCCATCCATCGCCGCTTCCATTGATCAACTGTGTCCTCCTTGATAATTCTTTTCCATCTGCTTGAGTCTTCATCAATTCGAGAATAGTTCTACAAAGGTACAACAAAACAGCTGGAGTCATCACCAAAACGAGTTACCTAATTCAATAACCTGATTTAAGCAGATATCTCTAAATTTAGACATTCACATTCTAGTATTGACCACATCTCAGGAGCCAAGGCCTGCCAGGTCATGGTCCTCTAAGAATTGAGAAGGCGCTATAGAAGGAAGGCAACAGCCCAAATTCTGTTAAACTCTCTTTATCAACTCTCCAACTTCCTAGAGAAACCTTCCCTTATCAACCCATTCCAATCTGACTTTCGACATGGCTACTCAATGTAATCTCCTCTCCTTAAAATAACCTATGAACACCAAAATCTTACTATCCTCATCCCTATAGATTTTTCTAAAGCGTTTGCCACAGTTGACCATAACACCCTTCTTACTAAATTGCACAATCTTCCTCTATCCAACAGTACCCTGCATTGGTTCAAATCCTTCCTTTCAAATTGGTCCCAGTTGGTAGTCCTCTCAGGTCAACCTCCATCTAAGACCCTCCCCCTCTCCTGTAGTGTCCCTCAAGGTTCCTCTCTATTTCCTACTCTGTTTGCTATTTAGATTAATGATCTTCCCCTCCTGATCCATCACTCCCAATACCATATCAATGCAGATGATTTCCAAATATACTTGTCCTTCCAGCCCTCCGACCTATTATCAGCCACAGAAAAACTTCAAGAAGACATGGGTAGGATTTGTGACTGAGCGAGAGCTAATAAATAGATACTACTGTAAATTATTAGATTGTTCTCCATTATTTTTACTTCATGTTTTTTTTTAATTTTTTATTATTAACTGATTTAAGTCAGAAAGTAACTTATGATTTTTTTATTATGACTATTTAATTACTCTGTATATTTGTTAATGTATCTCTGAAGCTCCTTAGACTACATTTCTGTATTATTCTAAAGGGACTCGTTCAAAATAAATAAAGTAAAGAATAAATTATGGGACCTCTGAGGGAAGGTTCCAAAGCCAGAGCAGCATTAAAGTATGTTGGAGCTTCCTTGAAGCTGAGAAATTTTCTCCTTTTTTATTCTCTCTATTTTAAAATACTTTCAATGAGGATTTTAATAAACTTTTTATAATTATTTTTATCGTACATTTTTATCGTTCTTGTTATGGTCATATTTATTGAATTTTTTAAAATATATCTGTGAATTACATAAAACTATGTACTTTAACAGCATAAAATCATATGTCTTGTTTTAGTTCATCGAGTAGTCATAACTGTATGGCATGGCATCAGGTTATTTGAGTGAATTCTCAAGTTTGATAATTGAGAGCGAAAAATACTGAGTATTTGGTATTTCATATTAATATTCAAATATTCCACAATATATTAGGTTGGCAAACAAGTCCTTTCAGTTTTTCAGGGTGAAATAAAACTCTATGTATTATAGACATACAATTTATTTTAATCTACAATATATTGACCATTATTTAATATGACTTTTTCCCATCTTTTCACTTACTGCATAATGGCATGTTTATAGAATGTCTGGAGTTTTTCGTTAAAAAATTGATCAAAGGGGTTTTTGATGTCCTCTTCCTTTTGGAATTTCTTTCCATTCATGGAGTTCTGCAGAGACTGGAATAAGTGCTAGTCACTTGCAGCTAGTTCTGGTGAGTAGGGAGGGAGGGGCAAAAGATCCTATCCAAGGCTCAATAATTTATTGCGAGTGACCAATGAGGTGTGGGGCCTAGCGCTGTCTTTGTGGAACACAAAACCCTTCCGATTTGCCAGTTCTGGGTGTTTATTTTTAATTGATTGATCTAATTTTGCTAATTAACTAAGGTACCCAAACATTAATCCTGGAAACATAGCCAAGCTTGTATAAATGGTTTTCTACACTTGTGTGTGACACATTTAGGGCCATAGCAATCTCTCGCGCTGATTGGGTGGGATTTTGATCACCTATGGCCTTAACATTGCTGTTTTCAATTTCATGTGGGCGACCAGACCATTGAGCATCATTGGTGTAAAAATTTCCTGAATGAAATTTGGCAAACCAATTTTGACATGTGTGTTCGGTTAAGGCATCATCCCCATAAATTCTGCCAATGTTTCTATGAGCTTCTACAGCACGCTTACCTTTTTAAAAATAATACAACAAAATATGGCGATAATGAATGATATTTTCTTCCATATTCACAGTGAAATAGCAAACACAATACTAAGCTAGTTTCAACAAGAGTTAGTAGATATAGTTCTTGACATATTACAAACAGTATAAACACTCCACCATAAGGATTAATTAATCAAAAAAGAAGTGCATCATAGTGACATAAAAATAAACAGCAAAACTGAAAGGAATTATTTGCCAACCCAATATATAAATAAATTTCACACAAAGAAAAAAAAAGTTAAGTTTCTAAAAACGGCTTTGGAATATATAATTTTCACCCATTTTCTTTATTAACAAACTCAACAAACAATGTAAAGATAATTAGAGCAATGCAATTAAAACTATTTTTATTTAAATCTCTTCTATCTTTATTAAAGTCTTACAACTATTAAGACTTTTTTCATCAATAAAAAAAAAAAGATAATAAAAATTTGACTGTTTTCTAAATGTTTGAAGAAGATGCACTTCAAAAGAATTAAGGCAAACTTCAGCAATCAATTTTTTTTCTAGATTTCAATTAATCTTGATTTTTCTGGTAGAATTTTAATGTTCCCATTAGGACAAAACCACAAAGTGCAATAAATTAGGTATGACTTTCTTTGGTTTCTATACAGTTAAAAAAAAAAAAGACCATTTCTTTCATTTTAGTAATCCTTTTTTTCTTGAAGAAGTTCAAGTTTGTTTGTTTGTTTGTTTGTTTCGATGTCTAGGCGCAAAACATCCAGGTCATAAGCGCCCGATCAACTAAATAACATCACTTAATACTATTTGGATGGTTGGTACAAAAAATAAAAATAAAAAAAAAGGACAAAAAAAATAAAGAAATGGATTGATAGAATAAAATAAATAAATAAGGATAATAATAGACATTTATAGGTAATAAGATGTATAAAAAATGTATAAATAAATAAACTTTAAAAAATAGCAGTAGAATCAATAAAAAAAAAAAAAAAAAAAAAAAAAAAAAAAAAAAAAAAAAAGAGAGAGAAAATATAATAAAAATAAGTAGATAAAAAGGAAATTAATAAATTTAAAAAAAAGTCTGTCAAATGTGTTTTTTAAGTCTTTCACTATCCATAAACTTGATGACTTTGGTAACCATTTCTTCCTGATTTCCCAGGGACGCTGATATATTCCGGGGTATTCCAAAATCTTCTAATCTTGCGGTGTAAAAAGGGCATTCCTCCAAAATATGTCTTATAGTTAGTGATTGGTTACACTTTTGACATAGAGGGATAGAATCTTTTGTTATGAGGTGGAGGTGAGTCAGTCTAGTATGTCCGATCCTCAGCCGCGTGAGGACGACCTCTTCTCTACGACTGCTGCGTTTGGAGCTGGTCCACGGTTGCACCTCTTTCTTTATTGTTTTTAATTTGCTAGGTGCGCTGCTGTCCCACCGTCTTTGCCATTCTTGGAATATGGTTTCTCTCAGAGGTCGTGCAAGTTCAGATGGTGTCAAAAAAACTTTACCGCGGCCTGGAAGAGTAAGAGCCTCCTTTGCTGCTCTATCAGCCATTTCATTTCCTTTAATTCCTATATGGCCAGGCGACCAGATAAAATGTGCCGTTGTTCCAACTCCATGAAAGAAGTTCAAGTAGATTTGGGTATTCTAAATACATTCAGTTAAACTGTTTTTCTGCTAACAGAAAAGGACTTACTCAAGAATTAAATTGGAAGATTTCGCTAATCTGATTGCCAATTAATACTTTAGCTTGTGTGTTCAGCATAGTCATTTCAATTTGGTGGATTAGTTTATACGGGATATTATATTAATTGAATAAATAAATAACCCAATTAAAAGAAAAACATTGAAGAAAAATAAACCTTTTTTTCGGTAGAGATAAACAAAAAATAAAAATATCCAGCATAACAGAAATAGCATTTTTATTTCTGTAATTACAAATAAAGTATACAGCAAATAATTTATCTCTCATTTTATTCAGACTAAATAATAACAGCACAATATATAATAATATTTAACCATTTCTCTACATTTCAGCATGTAACAATAATTAATCTAAGTGTGGATTTTTTTTATTTTTTTTTCATTTATTTAATAATTAGAATAACGCACCTATTCGCTTACATATCTAAATATGAGTACTCTCTTTACCGAAGAAGAATGAAAGTTATTGATTTTATATTTTTAATCAGAAATTAATTCCATATTTATAAAACAATTGTAATAAAAAAATATTATGCGTAGTACCATTAAAAGATGAAAAGTAATGGATAGAATAGACTATCTAGAAACAACAATGTTGAGAATTACCAGTATAATTTAAAATATCACATTGAACTTCGGTACAGTGAATACCATTCCATTTTAAGGCAATATATTAATGATGGGCATGTACTTGTATATGCGTCTGAGTGTATGTTTTTAACCATACATATAAACACATACATAAATACTTACATATATGTGTGTATATGTATATACACATGTACATATACATACACAATTTTATAAATTCTCTTATAGATATTATAAACCACCTAACCATTTACCAAAACTAAGCGCAGTTTCTACACTGTAATTTGTTCAAACAGATATTGAACTTGAGTTTTTTGAACTTTCCATTTGATTATAAAAGTGAATTATAAATATTAATATTTTTTAAAGGCATTTTTAGATAATAAAAATAAAAAAGCAAACGATTCTTTTACTTTATACACTTTGCAGTTCTTTATAATCCAAGGGAAAGTTAGTTTATTTTGGTAAATTTGGCCTATTAGCGATTCATATTTACGCAGTTACATTTGAAATTAGAGATCAGTTAAGTGAAAAAGTTTCAAAATCAATATAAGGCAGTAATATACTTTCAATGTTTAAGGATTTAATATTTCTTTCTATAATAATATATATATTTTATCTTTTAGTTTGAAAAGTTAGAAAAAGTAATTTTTTTTTTGTTTAATTTTGTCGCAATTATTTACTAAACCTAAAAGCTAATAAGATTTCATTTTTTTTTCTTTCTAAATAAAATCTGCCATACATTTTCTAACATTCCAAACTAGAATGCATATATTATCACCTATATGCAAATATCATGGAGCAAATATTTCCTTTTGATATACTAAAATTACATTTTATAAATGAAAAAACAAACAAAAAAACAAAACAACTATATAACATAATAACTCGGCACTCAAGTATCACATCCAACATCGTTCTAAGCACTTTGAATTTCGGAGGAAATTAATTATGTTAGTTACAAAACATCTGCGAAAAAAAAATCATTATTAACAAGTACAAGTGTTGACAAAATTTTTATGCTTTGTAAAAATTGATAATCTGTTTTTATAAAGCTCAATCAATTAATAACTAAATCAAGCGATGATTTCCTTTCTTTTTTTTTTTTTTTTTTTTGTGTGTTTTTCTTTTAGTTTTATCACAGATGAAAACCTCTTTCCTAATATAGAGTTAGAACTGATGTATTCATTATTTACCAGAAGTCTAATATGAGACAGCAGGTATTGAACTTTAAAATAAGGGGGCAACTATCCAATCTGGTAAGTAACCTCTCGCAAGCAAAAATGTTTTAATATGTTTGAGGTAGGTTTCATGCCAACATAAGTCAGTCGACTCTCAATAACTCAATTCTTTTATAAATGACAACTCTTAAAAATTAAAGAATTCCTGAGCTAGACAAAACTTTTTAAACATTATCTTCAATCAAGAAGGAAATGGTATGGGTGCTAGTCGTATGAAATAATAGCAACTATTTATTAAATGTCAATATTTCAACTCTCATGATAGATTCTCTTCCGAATAAGAAAAAGTGTTGGCCAACTATATAACATGGTTAGCTTACACATTTTCTTATTCGGTCCTGATGGTGAACTACAATCGTGGATGAAACATTGGTATTTAATGAATATTTTCCAATATTTTATATGTTGTCCGTGACCCCCATCCACACCATATTCTTATTTATTTACCATAAAGTCAACTATCAATGTAAAACATTTCATTTAACTGTTATTTGAATTTTAATGTCGAACCTAGTTGAACGGAGTGGAAAATCTACCACATTTCTTTTCAATCATTGATAAGTTTATATTATAAACATATCGTTGAGTTTAATTATAACTCAAATTATTATATATATTTAAATTATGGAGAGTTGACTTTAATTTAAAGAAAAACAAAATTTCATTATTACTATAAGGAAGTAAAATTAATATAAACACTCAATAAATTGTACTAATAAAAAAAATACATTTCATTTAATTTATTTTTTTATATATATCAACAATAACATTTAATTTATTTACTCTTTTATTTAAGTTCAAAATTTACTACCTCAAATATATAATTGGATTTTTACCCCATTCTTAATACTATTAGTACATAACAAAACATAGTTTCATTTATCAAACTATGTATTATGCATAACATTTAATTGTAAACTATATATATACTTTATTTTTTTTATATTAGGGGAAAATAAACTCTGTTATTCGAAAAAGGGTAAACAAAAATTGCGGGTTAATGAATATACAAAAAATAATACTTTAATTATCTTTATTGTTTCTAGCACCCAGAGAGCCATCACTTTTTATTCTCACCAGAAAATAATTTTGTATTTGATACAAAATCGTGAGTTACTTAATTAGAATCAATTAACTACATATTACTATTGTGTTATCTATAGTGAAAATATACTAAATCGATAAATCACGAATAAATTGAAATTTATCACAAGTTCTAGCGATTATTCAAAAGGGAACCATCTTCTCAGAATTGTTTACCCTTTTAATTTTGTTTAATCAATATTATGTAACAGGCTCAGTTATTTCATTTAATTTATTTATTTTTTTTGTACAATTTTCTTCGACTAATTTTCTGTTGTTGGAATGGATATTATATTACACTTTTTTTTTTTCTTCTTCTTTACTAAACTGCATTCAAAAAATAGAAAATTCTCAAATTAAAAAAAAAATATTTCATCTTTTTTTCCTTTTAATTTAATTACATGTTGCATTTTTAAATTATAAGTGTTTATCAAAAAACTTGAGAATTATCATTAAAAAAATAAAAAAAATGTTTTATGTTAGCTATTAATATTTTACAAACTTAATTTATATGTTGGAAAAACCAGCATATGTTAGTCCATGTCCCAGTCCCAACTCCTGATATTAAAATTAAATATAACTAGTAACATTAATTAAATTAACATTATAAGTGAATTTTCTTACAATTATATTTATATATATTGATGTATATATATATATTTATATAGATTGTACATTTTTTGTTGTAAATAATGCACAATATTACATTAAAAACAATATATTGTACTTTACAATTCACAAAATAACATTCTTATACTAAATCATTTGTTGTTAATAATTCAAGCTAATTACAGCAACACTTTAAGGATGCTGTAACCAGAGTGAATTATTGTTTTCACTATTAAGTTTACACCATAGCAGCATTAATTGAAATTTTTCTAGTACTTTATATGTACTACCCCAAAATATAATGGCCAGATGATTGCGTTAATTATGTACAAATAATTACGTCAGTATAGGAATATTATTTTGTAGATTAGTAAAACAATTAATACTATAATCAAAATAAAACTCAAATAAATAATTTATATATAGTACACTTTCTAAGCTTTGTTATATGTAAAATTTGATTAGAAATGTACATTGGCGCTATTACATATTTACAAAAAATAATAAACACATGTCCTGAAATATCACTGGACATATAAAGTCTTCTATGCATAAGAAGCTTCATCGTATGGTTGGTAAATGCAGTCCAACGCCTGTTGAATCATCGGCTGCACGTACTCAGGGGATCTCCTCCGCTTGTTTGAATGAAGTTTCTTAAGCCTGAAAATAGTACATATGAAAATATCGTTACTAACTTTGAATTTAAATTAAACAATATCTTTAATAGTTTAAGTAATAGCCCTCAATGGTACATAGTAGAAATAAAAATATAATATGTCTAACCTCCCAACTACGCACTCCCATAGACACTATAATTCAATTATGGACTAAACATTAGGAGTATTATTAAATTAATTAAGAATATTAAAATTCACTAAGAAAAGGTTTCTAATTGACTTTGATTTAATACATGTAATTTTATTTATAGAATATTCTTATTCTATCTTTTATTTTAATTAAATTTAATATCCCATTTGTCTTAGATCTTATCCCAGAAAAATTCTCCACATTTCATTAGAACCTTTTACCTATCAAATCCCCTTGCACAATCTGTAACCAGCGCGACCCATCCCTACAATCCTCCTCGAGGTTGAAGCGCCAGTGGAACAGAAACTTATGTGAATAAGTATACATTGGAGTTTTGGCATCGGCCAGATTCTCCACTCAAGCCATGCCTCTGATCAGCCTCTACTGCTCCTTAATACTAGCAATGCGGCTGAGTTAGAGGCGCTGGGATCTTCTAGAGTCCTGCCTTTCCTTCTACGAGTGGGGGGAAAGGCTTGGCTCGGGGATCTTGAGTGAAGTTTTTTTTTTTTTTTTTTTTTTTTTAGATGTATAGAAGCATGTGTGAATGTGCGTAGTTATGTTTATTAATTTAGTTTAGTTTATATACATTTATTTTAAGTATTAATGTTTTTCTGTATTATTCATTGTTGATAGAGCGTGAATGTGCTTTCTGAAGACTATTATTAATGTCCTTATTTGTGACAGATTGTAATATCTCTCAATAAATATGTTTAAAAAAAAATTAATTAAACTGATTTGTAAATCAATTTATTGACTCAACCCAATTAAGGATATAATTTACAACCTTTCTATCAAATTTTCTAACTAAATTTTAACTTTTAAAATTAATTTTAGGTATGAAAAAAAAAGAATATAAAATCAAGGCAGTGACATAGGTTAAAAAACTATTTATTGCACTTGAAGTTTATTTATTTTTATTTATTATACATAGTGTGAATGAACTACTCTTTTATCACTATGAATTTTGTCCTTAGATGTGACATATCTCAATAAAGAATTTTCAACAAAGCTAAAAAAAAAATAATTGTACTTGAAAGAACAAGAAGTGAAATATAAAAATATTTCAGGGATATGTAAAACTGTTTATCGCCTGTTTATGCCTAAAATTCATTATATAACAATTTAGAAAATTAAATTAGTGTATAATTTGATGAATTTTTCCACTGTGAAATCATAACATTATCCATTTGCAATTAGTGTGACAACTTTTGACTCTTATCTATGGCAGGCAATGAATATCTCTTAACTCTATTTTAGCAATCTTTACAATGGAAAATAAGAGTTTAATAACTAATAATAGTAAAATGAATAATTACTTGTAGGTTAAATAAACAGATGTAATTTCAAATCTTTCTAGCCATATATACCTCAGAGACTGGAGTTATGTGATTTACAAAAACTGATGGAGTTATGAGGTTTTTATTGCCAACCGTCGATATAATAAATAGAATTTTTGTTATTTTAAAGGTCTTAATGATTTTTTAGCTGTAAGCTTTAAGCTTTAGCTCCATTAAAAATACACTTCAAAATTTATTTAATAGTCCAACATTGCCAGAAAATAATTTCTATTCGCAGTAAGTGAAAGTTATGTGATGCACATATAAGATTTTTACTGTTGTTTTCGTTTCATAATTAGTAATATTTACAAAAAATATTTATAATTTTTTCTTTTTTTTTTTGCATTTTATTTTACATAAAATATATATTATATTTATTAGTAAAAATAAATACGACAAAACCAAAACCTATTTTAAAATAAAAATACAAGCTATTAACTTAAATATAAAGTATTAGAGATCGGTAACTAGTCGACTGATCAATTATATAGATGAAACAAGATTTTCAGGAATTCCAGTCACGATATTTTTATATGGTTAGCCGACATTTCGCCCCAAACATGTGGGTCATCCTCATGGCTATCATTTGGAAGTCGAGACAAGAACCTCCTATTCTTCTTGTGGTTCAAGAGAGAAGAGTTCTTGTCTTAAAGTCTTCAACAAGAGTTCTTGTCTCGACTTCCAAAGGTTAGCCCTCAGTATGTTTGGGTCGAAATGTCAGCTAACCCAATAAAAATACCGCCAATGAAATTTCTGAAAACTTTGTTTCATCTGAATATAAAATAAACTCTATAACAACATAATAATTTGTGTTTTTAATTCATCTTGGTCCCCAACTAATCTTATTGTAACTTTAACTTTGAGTGGTCCAGGTTCATAAAAACATTACAAAGTGAAATAAATAATCAAGAAAATATATTAACAAACATATTTTTTTTCTTTTCTAGATTTCATGAACTAATTTGGTTGATAATGTTTTAAAATTATATTTTTAAATGTTTTCACTATCATTAACGTATCATTTCCTTCCATAACTCATCTTTAAGGTTATGGATGGCTGATTACAGTTGATGATTGCAAAAATAACATTTACATATATAAAAATGTATTTTTATAAATAGCACTAATTTAGAGGAGGTAACTAGATAATAATTAGCAATCTTTTTATATAAAATAATTTATTAACAAGTGACGGCACAGACAGGTTTACTTTGTTTCTTGTACTATCATGAATGAGTGAAAACTTACATAGTTCAGCTGTCAACAGAAAATAATTCTTTGTGTAATGCAGGGAACTCAAGGTGAGGCGATGATCTTTTGAACTTGCTAAGCGCTTCCATGTGCAACATACTTAATTCCCTGAAAACAGAGCAAATAATTTATCAACATATATTTTAATGTAGTTGGTTAAAAATGTATTCTATTTCTAATAATAAAACTTTACATTTGATCCATCAGTTTAATTTAATTTTTTCAATCATTGACATTTCAACCCTTTAGATAATTTTCAAGAGGAAAAATGTGACATGAACAAATGAAAATAGCCTGAACGTTTTTAATTTTAAAATAAGATTTTTCCTCCACAAATGGCCTGAAATACTGAAACTTTGATAAATGAAAAAATAAAGTTAAACTGGTGGATTAAATGTGAAGTTTTGTCATAAGAAAAATAATTCATGCTAAATTTGTTTTTAATATTGCTTAGAACTGTATAGCCTTCAACTAATACAAAGCATTGTTTAACAGATTATTTTAAAATAAAAGTAAAACTTAAATGAATAGATAACCAAAATACCACTAGAGAAAACCTTAATCTATAAATAACAATTAATTGACTTTTTAATTATAAAATAAATGAATAAATTATGGGGTCCGCATGTTAAAATGAAACGTAAGACACTTAACAAACGACTCAAACTACTTTACTCTCTTTTTTCCAAATCTTCAAAACTAAAACTAAAACAGAAACTGAATACATATACATACTTACTTAAACCCCTTAAACCCATATGGACGTATTCATCACAAATATATAGTATCGCTAAAAAGACCCACCTACAAAAACTTCAAACATTCCAATCAAAATTATTGTGACTCATAACAAAAGCACCTTGGTACGTGACTAACAAAACTCTACATACTGACCTCCACTTTCCAGCAGTTGACCAACATATAACGACCCTTATTCAATGATTTTACACTAATTTAAATGGACATAATAACAGACTTATAAGAGACATGGCCACAGCTGACATATCTCAGAACATGAGGAGGAGACTAAAAAGGCGTTGGATGAGAGATCTCCTTCCTTAGACAACCTGAGTAATTGGAACAAGTTAGGGAAGAGGTACTGCTGAGTACTTTCCTTCCCCATGCCTGTCATGTCATTATATAATGCATCGCCATCACATTTGCTGATTGTCAACAATAAGACAAAAAAAAAAAAAAAAAAAATAAATTAAACTCATTTGCATATATTTAAGTAGAATGAATTATAACTTGTGGTTATGCACTGATTATTGGACTTAGATAAAGTCATTTTGTTTGCTTATCTTATTAAATTATTCTTTCATTTATTACACAGTTATTTTTCTATATATCAGTGGACAACTTTCTTTGAAGTACTCACTTCACGAGTTAACAATCCCTCTTTCTCTACTCTAGGTAAACAGAAACGATGAGTTTAATTGAAGTTATACTGCATTTATTTATTATTTATTTATTTATTTATGCCTCCCTTCCTTGTCTTTCGGCTGCAGGGATGGCTTATCAGACACGTGCATGCAATTCCTTCTATTAAACCACAAATTAATTTTCAATTTTTTTTTTTTTCAAATCTCTTCTTTTTTCATTATTTTCACCATATTAGCCTGGCGGCCTTCCATTAGCAGGTTCCATTAGCCTCTTCTTCCCAGATTAAAGTGGGACGGCCACAGAGCAGCTTTCCACCCGTACACAAAATCTTTGTAATACGGGTAGTTCTGCTCTGTCACTAACTCGGGAAATTCATCCTTCATGAGGCCATAGACTCCAATTTTTCTTATCATTTCGGTCCTTAGTCCATCAAAGGCGGTGCAGTTGACGATAATATGCTCAGCCGTCTCCGGTACTCCGCAAGTGGGGCATAGGGGATCTACGTCTTTTCCAAAACTATGTAACTTAGAGCGGAAACCCCCATGCCCAGGAGTTATACTGCATTTAAAATTTAAATATCAAAACAATTTATATGTTGCTTGTAAATACCTGAGAGAAGGGATCTTCCCTAAAAGGGCATCACACACGGTGACATCTCCTTTAATTGGCATTGTGTGATTCCGGTCTAATTCGATCCTCAGTGCTCTTAAAACAGCTTGACCAAGCCTTCCAATTTCAGCTAAACCCTTCAAACCAGGCCGATCTGAAGACAAAATTTTAATTTATTAGTAAAGTAAGTTAAACCCCTCTAGGGTTACAAATAAAATAATGAGATAACATTATAGGTAATAATATCAGTTAATAATTAAACAGCCATTATTTAGGCATCTTCAGAAGGGAAAAAATTAGGTTTAATAAACGCAGACAAGAGATAGCATACCTCACATCAACAGTCTAAAAAGATGGAAAAAAAGATAGCAGATCACCCAAAGACTATTTAACATACTGAAGGAAAAGAGAGGTGGTAACATCAGCTGATCAGCTATAACCTTCCTCCAAATCCACTCCATCCTATCTTTTTCCTTTTGTATGTATTAAGTTGTCTTAGAGTGGCTAACAACCTCTATTTTGAATATTGGTGTGAGGTATATTGTCTTTGTTCAGCATTCTGTAATGCGATTTTTTTTTCCTGATAAAGCCTGAAATATTAACTGCTCAGCTAAGTCTTTGTTTTGTATCTAAAATTAATATCCTAATAATTATTTTTTACTATCTTTAATTATGAATAAAGGTAATTGATTTTATTTATACCCCCTGAAAGAAGAACACATGCGGAATAGAGTGCGAGCTCTGTCTCGGTCAGTTTCAGTTCTGCGACTCCTCTGGCAACTTCAAATGCAAGATTCACCAGTTTGATTTCCGCAGTATCTGCTGTGTAGAATGCGTCCTGGGGGAGCATGGTGTCTCCGTACAGGACACAACCAGAGCTTAAGTCAAAGTATCGTGACATCCTGAGAATCGCAAGTTCGAAACTTCCTAAAATTGCACCAATTAATTAGTTTGATTTAATAATCATTTATTAAGGTATATAGCAATAATGATAAAAAATATATATCTAGTTATATATTAACTCTAATTAAATAAATACTTAAAAATTAATGAGTCCTTTGGTTTTACCAGATGGGCCATTTTCATTTGGCTCAATTAATTACCAATTCAAATTTATTTTTCCTTGTTATGGTAAAATATCATAATTCAAATTTACCCTATATTTAAATATTGCTAAATATATTAAAAATAGATCAATAATAAACATACCAGCTTTCAAAAGGACAATTTGGTCATCTTGAGAAAGCTTCATGAAGCCAGGTACCATCTTGGCAAATTCAATTATTTGTTGGATCACAGATGTTAACTTTTGAGCACATTCCAGCCAAAGTGCTTCATGTGCCTGAAATAAGAACATATTTTTATAAATTATATGAAAAAAAAAATGATTATGAATAAAAGACAGCAGAAAATAAAACATACCATGTCTTTGTAAAAAATGAGCTTAGAAAGTTCTGGAGGCTTTCTGAACATATTATGTATATGTTCCATTGTGAAGAGGCACGTCCGTGAATGGGCATCTGCTATAGTTTTAGAAAGAAGTTCGGATATCTGGGCAGGATCTGTGAAAATATTAAATAAATTCATCAATTTATTAGTTTAAAAAAATAAATATATTTAAATATTCTGAATTTTTTTTTTTTACCACTTCGTAATATACAACTTATTAAAATAAATTAGCATGCATAATAAACTGGATATTTTATTGAATTTGTTTACGAATTGTAATAAATGGCTACCAAACCCTTAAGCTTTACCTTAAAAAAGCTTTATGTGATGTTACATAAGCATGCAGAACAAGTGCACTTATTGTATTTACAAATTTATTTTTTTTTTACAGATGTACACATATATTTAAATAAATGATTAATTTTAAATTAAAATACTAATGTTAGAAATATTCCTTAGTATACCCTCGCTAACTCATTTAATTGTGTTAATATAATAATAAAAGGCTTAGCGAACCCGATGGTTTTATGCCGACATCACCAATCACTTATTACACACCTCCCTTCACCAGTCGCCGTCCAAACCCAGTCCCTTTAGATCGCCCTTAACACAATCTTCACACCTTCCTTTTGGTCAACCCCTCGAATGTTTACCAGTCGGCAACAGTAAATATTAACATTTTAGGAATTAATTTAATTGTAATTGTGTTAATTTAATTAAACCTCCTACAGTTCGAGTTGATAGGCCTATAAATGTAAGTCGATAATTAATTAAAATTGAATGGAAAAATGGAAATGATATTTGTTCAAATATTCTCTCAGCCTTTATAACGTTAAACCTCAAGCAAGAATCTATATAAAATATAATCTTAGAGAATGAATAAATATGATAAGTTTTCTAGGAACAAATTTGCACCTAGGAAGAACAACTGATTTTCAACAATTGAACAGAACTGTCTAAAAAATATTTCAATAGATTTTGTCGAAATTTCATAGATTTTAGTCTGATGTATAATGACTATTTATTCTATGTAATAACTAATAATATGGATAAAGTAACCAGTTAATACAGTTCTCTTTCAGCATATTTTATTTTATTAATAAAAAATAGAATTTTTTTTTCCGTTTTTATTATACAATGCAGAGAAATTCTATAAACAAGAGTTTACAAAAATTTCAAACAACAGTTATGATTAGTTAAATGAGTCAAACAACTTATGGAATTATGGGAGTAAAGTTGCTCCATCAACCTAATATTTAAAAGGCAGCCAGAAGTAGAAGTGCTATTTCTAATTGCTGAAGCACTTCAAGAATAAACACCTATCTCAGAAAGCTAAATTTGTTTTGTGCTAAGCACCTAATATGCTGAGGTATTCCTTTATCTCTCCTTGAAGATTCCTTCATGAAAAAAGCCTTGAATATATCTGAACAAGATGCTCCTTTTCTTTCTTTATAAAATAACAGAAATAGGCGTTAAAAGATCAATTAAGGAAAGGAGGTAACGAAACTATTACAACTTATTGCAACCTTCTTGTTTTCATAGTCACTTGTTTTAAAATAAAGCATTCAAATCTCATAATTTGATCCTTCAATAACCTCAACATTCAGCGACATCTAATCTTTTATGTTACAAAAAAAAATCAAAATTGAGACCTCTAATACTCTTCATTGGAATATACCTATGATTAATGTAACCAATTATGTTAGGAAATTCTCCAGTTCTGTAATATCTGGTTTTCATTTGTCAATATATGATTTCGGTCATTTTTGGAACAAACATTTGTAAATGTTGGGCTATTTGTTTTGCAAAATTAATAATTCTGCATAGAATAGATTGATGCAATGAGGTAGTAAAAATTCCAATTTACAATAAGTGATAAAAAAAATACAATCAGTTTCTGTTAAAAAAAAAAGAAAAAAGAAAAGGAACATGTAAGCTGCCAATTGCAAGTTGACCCACATCTGAATTATCATGGGGGCTGGTAGGCCCTATACGATTGATTGGTTCATTTTCAATGACGCTATTAATTCATTTTAAAAGATATTTTTTAAAGAGCGATCCCTTTTATGATGGCTGAGCATGTTGAGGTGTTGCCCGTTTTAACATTCTCGAGTCTAGCAAGGCTAGTTTGAATACGGCCTAGGCGGATTGAAATTTACACATAGAATTAATCTCGACCTTCCCAACCTTGTTAGAATATGTTTGTTATATCAACAGAAAAACTTTCATAGAATTTAATGTCAGTCAACTTGCCCAAATTTTATTTCCAATTTATATTTTGTGTTAGGCCTTCTTCATTAAAATTGTTTAGAAATTCAATAAAATCATTATAAAAAAAATAAATTGTTTCTATTGATTTTTGTAATGATAAAGTATAATAATATAAGAGAGTATAAGGAGTGTTTAAGAAAGTTAGGTAAGGTTGTCTTTCTTTTGACTGACACTAAATTGAAGGAGAAACTGTTGAGGAAAATTACTTTATTTTTTTTTATTTTTTTTGTATAGCCTGTTTTTACAAGTATTACACCTGTAGGCCTCCCCAGTTAAGAGGGTAATGGTCTAACTTCCCGCGGGGACCAGCCGTATTGGGAAGTAGGGCCGGGATTCGATCCTATGATTATTTGTTAATTTTATAAATGATACGTATTTTATTGATATAAATAATTTGTAAATTATAAATAAAAAGAACAATATAGGTGGAAACACCGGTTTGGACCAATGTACAGAGTAACATTGAATCTCGACTGTTTTTTGTTTTAATACCCCACGAGAAAATCAGCACATTCTTTAGGCTTTTCGCTCATTGGTTGGGACTTTCTTATCTTTGGATGTAACCTTCTTTAAAGGTTATTATTGGATAGATCATTTGAAAAAATATATAACTTTCTTTATGGTATTGACCATGGCAACTTAGAAATGGACAGATGATGTTCAATGCCATCTCAGTGTGGATACATTTAATTATTTTTATAAATAAGGAATAGGCCACGGTAGTCTATGTGATAAAATTCTATTTATTCTTAATTAAGTGAAATTTTCATAAATTCAGACATTTGTACATAAGTTAATTTTTTGTGATAACATACATTTGAAAGATAAAAACTCAGAGAACTTACTAGCAGGTATCGAAATGTAGATAAAACTTAAACTTATGTACTAATACCCAGAGGATGCGTCAATAGACCAAAATTTGGCTTAATTAAGATAAAATAAAATTTGATGACAAAGACTACTGAGCCCAACTCCTTAATTATACTTCTAATATAGTCTCCTTCCGGTTGCCCTCATAGAAACATTTATTTATATTAGCTGTAACTTAATCACAAAATCTTCAATATTTTTCAGTCACCGAGCCTAAATATAGATTTAAAATTTTGTTAAGCAAAAGATGGTTGGTTTTTCTTGTAAAAATTTTTAGAAAAAAGTTTTAAATATTAATTAAAGAAATAAAAAATATTAAATGTACCAGTAATAAATGTGACATTATGATTTCAATTAAATGTGGATGATAGTATTATGATGATACTATTTGTAAAATTTAAAAAAAAATTGTTATTATTTTTAACCCTCTGGACACGATAGGGGCAATTTTTACTTACACCTGATCTTTTGCCACTCTATAAACCTTTCTTTTGAACGTGTTACCTCCAACTTTTTGGGACCTCCTTAAAATTTATGAAGATAGAGAAACATGGAGTAAAAATTCCAGCAATATCTATTAATTTTTAAACTTAAAATTTTCAGTAATAATTATCTATTTTGACCAACACTGTTTTTCTTTTGTAGTTTAAAATGAATTACCCTTAGGCATGAGATTCAGCAAATATTTTTTTGATAAAAATTATAAATAGTGCAAGATAATATTGCCAAAGGACATTTTTTAATCATTAAAGAGGCTCAACGTTCACAAATACATAAATTGAATTTCATTTGGTCAGCTATTTACTTTTGTGTGAATTAATACCATTAAATTCTGAACTAAATGTCTTAATTTGTAATAATTAATTAATTTTGAAATTTTCAGGTATTTTTTAAACATTTTAAAAACTAACAATCAGACAATAGCAATCAGAAAACACCTTTGTTAACCAATTGTTTATTTAAACTCAAATTATATTGCAATGATTTTGATATTTTCCTTCTCCTAATTTCAATATATTTTTGTGGATTTATTTTGAAATTAGAAAGTTAAAAAGGTTAATGAATTGTTCTTAATGTTATTGAATTTAAGCTAAAGGTACATTTTATACGCATGTAGGTAAAAATTATTTCTACTCATGAGTAAGATAAGTTATTTTATCTCGTGACCAGAAGGTTAAAAAATAATTTATATCGTTGGTGTAAAGATGGTAGTTTTGAAAAAAATGGGTATAACAGATTTATATAAGATGAAATAAAATAAAATCATGCCTGACTAACTTTCCATAGTGTTATTAATTTTGAGATAAAAAAAAGTTTCTTGTTTCAGAAAGGATTTGTAAAAAACCTAATCCTTACTGGGAAGTTCCTCGGTTTGCCTCGATGTTGTAGAGTCTACGTATGTGTTGATGACGCCGTCATTGAGCGCTTCGGTCTCCAGCTTGATGGCAAGTCTTGGTTGGCCCTGCACAACCTTCCCACCACCGCCTTGTACACACACACTGTTAGCCACCTTCTCCTCTGAGCATCACCACAATAAAGCACAATATTAAGTGGGCTTTCATTATTTAACATTTAAAAAGAAAAGATTTTAAATAATAAAATGTGAAATTAAATAATAAACAAGTATTTATATTTTTTTTTCAAAGGAAAAGAATTAAATGATCAAACACTGACATGCTAATAAATTTCAATAATTTAATGTAATGGCCCATAATTTGACTGAGTTGACTATTCTAATGTCAAACACAACATCGAGGATGAAATTTTGATTATAAATCCGAAAGCCCAAAAATTAACTTGTGGTAAGTGGGGAGTGAGGGAGGGAAGAGAAGCATATCAAACCTATGAATTTTCATACATGATTTTATTTTATTGAAGAGAAAGATGGTTGGTGGGTGATCAGTCAAAATAAAAAAAAATAATAATTATATTTATTTATAAAAATAAATATAATTATTTATTTTTACTATTTTTTTTATTTTGACTGATCACCTCAACCATCTTTCTCTTCAATTATTCACTACAATCAAACATCAATTCACGGTTTTATTTTATGTTTTAACTCAATTGAATAAACTCTTGTATTCATTCATAAATATCATTCATTGATGAGATGATTTCAAGAGTGGTATTTATTAAAAAATATATGTAAATAGATCATAAAAATAATCCAAATGAATTATTTATGAATATTATTAAGGAATAAATAATTTGGTAACAATTAACTAGTATCACTTTGTACTTTTTAAGTAATTTTTTCTTCTGTGGGCTTTTATGTCAGCTATTCAGTCTTTTCCCCTAAGAAATATATTTATCTCCTCTTAATATATCATCCATGTCTTTCACGATCTTCATGAACTGGACAAGATATTAGAACTGCTACTCAGGACAATCTTATAAGCAGGAACAAATTCTTCATTGATAGTAATTATCAACAATCATTAATAGTTCAGTGACTTAACAAACTTATCAACTCTTAATTTTTCGTTTGTTATAAATAAAAAAGCCTCCTCTAAAGAGAGTTTGAACCAAAATTTAAGAAGTTTGATACTTTACAGCTAAAACAAAAGTTAGCATAAAGCCTTGCTAAATAGGCTCTGATCGAACAAAAAGATGGACTATGTTTCTGTTAACAAGAAAAGTTAAGATCATTATTGGAAGCAAAATCGTTTCTTTTAGGTAAAAAATAGTTGAAATAGCTTCAAACTAAGTTTTTACAGAATTAACGCAACAGGAGTTTTACTGTTCACGTAAAAGAAAACTTTTTAGTTTATAGGAACTGAATCTTAGGTTTGTAGATTCCATAAAATGTACTGATAGATTTATATACAAGTATATTGTGTTTATTTAACTTGGAAGTGAATGTGCAGATGTTAGAAATAGAAAAAAAAGACTAAAATTTATTAATAAGTGGATTAGAGAAATAGATTAATTATATTAACAGGTTTAGATATTTCTAATTGTGGAGTTGATACTCAAAGTAAACGGAATAATGTGAGTACATTTTTATTAACTTAACTATTCGATGAAGTAATTTCTTAAAACTTTATGAAATGGAATTGGTTTGACATGATACTATTTTATGATGATAACATTACCACAACCAACTAATTATTTACAACAATGAAAGCCCACATTATATGTTAGGTGCTTTTATAGTTAGCATAGCCATGCATAGCAAATGATTTACATATCAATGAAAGCGTCTTCATTCGTTTATTTAGTATCTTAACTTATTTTTTATTTATTTTTTTTTGTACAATGAAGACATGATTGAAAGCCAGTTAGCTCACTACACCATCTTATTAAAATTTAATAGCATACATTTAAGGAAGGTTTTTTTTTTATTCTTAAAAAAATGATTTAACCCTCATCTAAAAATGCTTGTAAACATTTCATATCCTGGAAATTAAACGTCAAATCTGCAATTAAAAAAAAGTTAATATGGAATAAAATTATTTTATTTTGTTAATAGGATGAATTTGTTTGAAAGTTTTTTTTTTTTTTTTTAAATTAAAACATTAAATATTCATTTTTATGAAAATTAAATATTATTTGTGGATTCCAAAACAAAGCTTCAAGTCTGTCAAATACTAATAAATAAATAATCAGCCAACATTTTACCAATTCTGGCATCATCAATACAGAGAAAAATGCGTGTGCACTGCACCACGAGTTCCTCAGCAACCAGATAACAGATATGAGAGATTAAAAAGTACGAGTTCCCGCCCCGATGCCGGAGAGGATTTTAAAATTCCCCACCCTCACCTCCTGGCCCGGGAAAATCCCGTATAGCCCAAAAGGCGAGGTAGAAAAGAAAACAGAGAAAAATAAATACAGACCAGAGACTGTACATCCCACATCAACACGCTTAAGATTAAAAAGCAAAGAGATAGAATGTTACACCAAAAGAGTTATTTTTAACAAACTTGTTCAAAAAAACCCTCATCAAATCGCTATAATTGGCTCCGTAAATTTGTTTCCTATCATAAATAGAAATGATACTTGCAAAAACGTTAATACATGTAGACAGAATAATCCCAAAATCTAAAACATATAGTCAAAACAAACATATTTCACTATATATAAAAATGGCTATATGTCATTTACTAAAAACATTTCAAATTAAAAAGTATCAAATTCAAATTTTGCAAAAAGGAGTAATTTGTGTTTAAAAAAATGTATAAAATAGCATTAGATTTTATAGTCATGTTTCAGATTTAATTGAATTTTGAACTTTAACCGTATTTAATTGAAAAACAGATTTTACAAATGCATCTACATATAGAGGGTCATTAGGATACTAAGTAGATTTTCATTATTTACAATTTGGATATTTCATAATTTATAATTTTATAATTTCCCATTACTTGAGAATAGCCGTTTGAAATCAACACAGATTTGGATCTTATAAGTTGAAAAAACAAAACTTTTTAAGCTTTAATGACAAAAATACCATAAAAAAATGTTTAAATTTTTGAGACTTTAAATTCAGAAATCTAGATGAAATCTTTGTGTAAACTGTTGACACAAAAATATTGATTATGTCTATATGAACCGATGTTCTTTAAAAAATACAATATAACAAATATTTTTTATTTAATTTATTACGTGTATTTGTAAAAATTATTTCCTAATAATAGCGGATCCCTTTCAAATCAAATCATTTACCTATTGGGCGAATAGTGCTATAAGACAATCCAATTTATTGATTTGATAGAGTGATATTCATCTTGTTTCAGCTAGTCTTAATTGTAGACGGTTCTTGAGGAATCTGTCCATCTGCCTGAATAGGTGAAATGCTGGCAAGTTAGTTCTTTCCTAGAATCGTAGAGACTTAAAGCTTTGTTCAGAATCTTCCCATAACATCCAAACAGTAATTTTTTTTTCTTTCCTTTGCTCTCATTAATGAAGCTTGTATTATAATTAAGCCTTATAAAAATAAAAATGTAAATAAAGAAATACTATAATATCAAATTTTGTATAGAATAGTAGACATCTCATTTAAATTAATATATTTTTATGAATATTTAGCCACAAAAAGTAATCCAATAGATTTATCAAGAAAAATTTAAATTAACTGAATAAAGTAATTCGTGTAGTTTTAGTTTATTTTTACAAATAACAAATCCAAGTCATCGCTATTTATTGTACTTATTTATTTGTTGATCTTTGTAGTTCAAGAAAGGAACCAGTTTTTCTTATTACTTGGAAAATGCTTCGATTTGATTGAATCATTGTGTAGATTAAATGTCAATAAGAATAGTAGTTAAAGCATCGAAGATATGCCCTAAATTTCAATAATTTTACTGAGAATTAAGCAATATATTGATAAAAGAATGTGAAAATATCCCTAATGAATATATTTGTTTAAAAAATAACTCATAATTTAATAAATTGATTTTTATTTTTCAGTAATTCTTTTTTCATTTTTAATTTTGGTTATATTATTCATTTGTTTCAAACAACTTCTACTATATTTTGTAGAAGATTGTGAAAATATCACTAAAATAAATATAATATGTGTTGATTGAAAATCGTAGAATTAGATGTTACTACATTCTATTATGAAAAATATTTGGTGTTAGTGAGCAAGGTAACGTATGAATATGAAATTTAAATCTGGTACAGTAATATAGTATTTTATTTTGATAAAAATTCACCATGTAATTAAAGTTCACTAATCTATTAAAGCTAATGGATTGGTAAATCGTTTATTCATAAAAATATGGGTTAATTCATTTCTTCTGATCGACAAATATTAAATTTGTTTAATAAAACAAAATTATTTTATTTATGATGCATTATTATTTTCTGTTAGCAGTAAAATTTGTTCAAATCTTTATGATCGGAATTAAGGTAACAAAAATAAAAATTTGAAAATCCATGACAGCTATAATGTTGCATACTGTGCTTTTTAAAAAAATCCAATTAAAAGTTTATGATTTTTAATTGTACTATAGTATTTTTACTTCATTTTTTTTTTTTTTATAAACTGAGTTCAAAAACAAAATAAACTAGAAAACTAACCTGTCGTTACAACGTTGCCCATCATACTTGAGTCTGAGATCTGGTCTATGCTCGGTCTTGGGTCGTAGGCTGTTGTTGTGCTATCTACAAAATCTGCAGATATATCGTATTGCATTGTTGCCGTTACCTGACCACTGTAGTTATACGAGTACGATCCGACATCACTGCCATAAGTGTACCTGAAAAAATATTATTTAAAAAACAAAAAAACCAACAACTGAACTCGAAATCATGAAATAATAAGCTGACTTAATGATAGATGAAACAATTGAACAAGAAAAATAATAAATTTTACTTCAGATTATTTAGTTATTATATAGTGTATAATATTTGTAGATTGTAATATTGGATCTATAAATATTATATATTCCAAAATATTATTTTAATGTAATTAACATGAAATACAAATTAAGCCAAAAATTTATTGTTCCTAACAGATATATTATTATGAGATAATTAACTGTAAATTAAAAAGTACTTATTTAAATATTATCCTAAAAATAATAAATAGGTGTAAACTAAAAGAATGGGAATGATTGGATGGAAAACTTGATAGTAAAGTGTTTCTTCTTCGATTGAAATATCAGCTGGTATCTATGTCAGTTATGGAAATAATATTAATAAAAAAATAGTAAGTATTATATATTAATTGGAAATTAAAGAGAATTTTTTAAATTGAAATAATGATTGTTCGATTGAAGGTTGACAAAGCCTTCTAAATTTAAAAATTATATTATTCAGTTTTTATAAGTCCAATCAGCAACAGATTAACTTTTTTAGTATTTGGTATCATATTTGTCATGGTTTTTTTTTTTTGCCACATCTTAATTTTTCATTCAGCTTTTTATGTGTTTTGCTGAGTTAAACTTTTCTTTCAAACCTGGTGATATTCCTTTAGAAGTCATGTTTCCAACAAGAAAATTAGATTTACAGATGTTCGACCATACAATTTCCTTATATAAATTGAGATTACATGGAGAGAAAAATAAAAGATCTGTCCAGTAAAAGAACAAGGCATTCATTTTATATAATCTAGAGCATTTCAAATTAAATGTAAATAAAATTATAAAACTTAGTAGGTAATAAAAACCTTATTTTTCCTTGAGAAGTACAAGGTCCATGAAGCTTCACTTCTAGTCACAGTAAAATAATTAATGTTAAGATCCTTCCCCTCAGTTAAGTAATATAAATAACAAGTAACAAGAAAAGGCATTGTTTAAAAACTTTCTAATTATTATTCGAAAAAGAGAAGAAAAGAGTTGAAAAATAAAATAGTAAGAAACAGTTATATATCATATACACTCGGGTATATATCTACTATCTCTCTTCTTTTTATTATAAATTCATTAAACCTAGCAAAAATAACAAAATTTCTTTATTATAATCCTCATAGGAAAGCTATAAGTAATAGTTCCTGGATAATTCAAATGCACAATTATTTATCTAATAATGCAAATTATTTTGTTAAGATCAGGACTACCTATTAAGCATAGGATGAAAACTTGAACAGCATTAGTGCATGGATATCAGGTTGTTTAATTCAGGGGTGCCCGTCCCTGCAAAGGTCGATGGCACATGAAACTCTTTCTTCCCCACTCTCAAGATATTTTATTACTGTGCTCTTCTTAAAAATAGTGTAAGAAAGTAAAATAAAAAAAATATATATTATATACAATTACACATCCTGTAGTCTGTTCTATGCTTCCCCTTCTGGTTTCAAACGTTTCATTCCGAAAATTCATAACCACGTCAATAAGTGCCCCCCTCAAAAAATTAAAACTCTATCAAAATGTGCTCCCCTTAAAATTTTTGATGGCGCAACTTGCGACATAAAACCCCATTCTGGGCACCCCTGATTTAATTAAGTAAAACAAGTTAAGCTACATAGATCTTAACAACTACAGCTATGCTGTCTCCCATAATAAATACAAGGCTGAGATGAATATAAACATATTTTCATCATATGGTCTCTAAAACTAGCAAAAGTTGGCATATTTAGTTACGAGAAGAAAATCCTTCACAATTTATCAGGTGGCATCCCTGTCGCTGCCTCCCTGAATGCTTCCTTTGTTGAGATAAAAATCAAAACAATGGTTTGAAAACCCACTCAAAGCGAATGAAGGATAAAAAAAAAGTAAAAAAAATAGTTTTACAAATTATTCTGGATAGAAAATAGAAAAAAAGAAGTAAAAATAAATAGTTAGTGTAAAAGTATTTCATTGTTAAGTCTGCAAAATAACATAAACAAAAAAAAAAAATTAAACCACATTAATAAATATACTTTCAAAAGACTATAATGATTATGTCATATATGCATATATCCTAATACACTTATACACAAAGAAAAAAAAATTATTATCAATAAATGATACTCCTTTATTTGTTACAAATAAATGATTATTTAGTCGATGATAAAAATTTATACTGAACAGAAATAATTCAAAGCTATTTGCAATAATATTAAGATTTTATACACCAAAAATACAAAATAATGCATTGTCAAACTATTTTGTCAGTTTTTCAATTTTGAAAAAAAAAGTAAAAATTATCACCAATTATCAATATATATTTTCGTTTTATTGCTGCAATATTACTTTTAAATCTCTCTTTTAACATTTATGCTCTATTGGACAGTATTCTTATATTAATATTTAAACAATTCCTTACATGAATTGTTAGAAATGTAACCAAGATTTAGATAAATAAAAATTTTGATACTATAGTATTAATTAATTTGGCCTTGAAATAATAATTCCTTACAAAAAGTACTGAACCCAATACCATCCATGGACTGTAGTTGTACAGGTTTTTTTTTTTATTACATTGTAATACATCTAATAATGACAATAATATAATGACAAATACTTTTGGAAGTTAATATTGTTGACGAACGTACCCAGTGTAGTTGTGGATCTGGTCAGTCGATGAAGGTGTTTGGGCTTGGTCGAAGACGGAGCTGTCCGGCGGCGTTTGCTCAACCTGCGCCCTCAACTGGGCTCGATGGTACCGCACTTCATCTTCAACCTTCTCCCTCTGTTTCTTAGACATTCGTCCAAATTTTACAGCTGTAAAAATAAAAATAAATGAAATTAAAATAATGAAACTCTTTCAAAATTAATATATTTAGCTATTGTCTACATCTTATTATATATAATAATTTATTAACAGCATTAGTGAACCACAAAATAAGTGTTTAATGAAAGTAATAAAATCAACTAACTATAATAATACACAATATACAAAACATTGAATAATAATTCATCAAACTAAACTCTCATTTGATTTCATGTATTCACCAATAGAATAATCAAAATAAACATTAAGAGCTGGCAAATGATGAGCATTTGTTTGTTTTAAAAACAGAAGTCAAATTTGTTTGTTGTATAAAGTTGTAGTTGATATAATACAACTTAATACCAATACCACAGTAAAAAAATAAACAAATGGACAGAAATTGAGAATTGACTGTGTTTCAAATTCTTGATTGTTGCAGCCATTTTCAAAATTTAAATATAAATCTTGATTTAGTAGCATAATTATACAAACAAATTCTTCCCAATATAGTTTGTAATATTGTTAAATATTTATGAATTTATTCTCAAAGGTTCATCTAATTTTTTTTCTTTTTAAATTTAAAACATTACAAAAACTAACACGAAATATATTAGCTACAATAAAATGTAATAATAAACCAAAAAAAAAATACTAGATATTGTGGTACATTGAATATTTTTGAACAAAATATAAAAAAAAAGTAATAATATGGGTAATGATCTATTCTTGATTTTATGTTGTAAAAGCAAATTTTTAAAGGTCTTATATTATTTCTACAATTAATACTGACATTAAAGGTTAAATTAAATTCATTTTTAGGACTGCTCCAGGGAGTAAGAATGTATAAAGAAAGCTCAAAAGAAGTTGGATGAGCAATTTTACACCATGTAATTTAAATGCACTGCAGTAGATTTGCTCCTTGCAACTTAAATACAGATTTTAAAAAACAACAAAAGGAATAATATTATTAAGGAACGTTAACAGTTAAATTTTAAGGCATTTAAGCAAATGAGGAAAAAGTAAAAAAAAAAATTTATTTAAACTTAGTGAGCTCTCTAATGTTGAATTTAACTAAATCTTGACATAGTATTTTTTATGATTAAAATATCCTTTTTGATATTTAAGATTTAAATATCCTGATTACACTTTAAAAAAAACCTTTAAATTTATTATAAAGAAGAGAGAACTACAATAATATTACATGGCAGCTCAACTGTGTTAAGTTGCTAAATCACACAGCATACTCATCAATCAACAGATAATAAAAGAAAGATAGAGAGTTACGTTTAAAGCCGGTGACTCTATGCGAAAAAAAACTCGATTATTTGATAAAGAAAGAAGTCGATAATTCAATGCCAGAAGAATTAACAGGAAAAACAACTGTTCTGGGATGTTTACTTACGGTCTCGAACCCGAGGCCGACTCATTCGAAACAAATTCGATTTTCTTCAGTCACTTTTACAATTCCCTTGTCGACCGTGTCCTTCGAGTTCGATTATAAAGAAATCGATAAGAGATCGTGAATTCAACGACCTGCGGACGCCAGTAGATTGAATAATTGTAATCGATCTCGCCCTCTGATAAGATACATGCATTATAAAAATAAAAATGTCAATAAATAAGAAATCTATGAAACTGTAACGGTAGATTTTATAAATATTTTTTTATTTTAATAAAATATCAAATAATGATAGAATATAAAAAGTTAACAACCCGCACACTCTCTAATGATGAATTAAACAAAGACTGGGTGAAAAGTCTTCAAACTTAGACATTTCACAAACTGTGGGAAACAACGTCAGCGGCATGAAACAAAAACATTAGCATATGAAAATAACCATTTAAATTGGTTATCAACGCCGTTAATTAAGTTTATATATGATTATATGTGCTGGTTGTGAATAATAAAAATAAAATAAATAAATTAATAATAATAACAAAAAATAACCGCGCGAAAGATAAGATTCAGATATTTTTAGATATTCATTCTACGGAGAAAAAAAATATGACTTCACTCAATATTATATTTTACTTAAAATGTATAATTCATCGTATAATTAAGACCTCAATAATTTTTAACAATACTTAGTTATCTGTATTTCCCATAGTTTGTGAAATGTATTTAATTTGAGAGGAGAGGAGACTTCAGCTCGAAAGCGTTTTTTTTTTTTTTATATATACATAACGATACTTACTTTGGAACACAAAGGAAAAAAGTAAAAACCTTTATGCACAGGCGAATCTACGGGGGGGAGGAGGAAGAGCTTTCGGGCTGAGGCACCCCCAAAAATAGTAAAATATAACCATGGCTTATGAAATAAATATTAAAACTCTCTCTCTAAAAGTTTTATTGTTCGTGTAATTACATTTAATAGAATTTCAAGAATCACTTAAACACCATTTCTTAAAAGTAATTAGTTAGTTTCTTTCTTTTTCTCCCAAAGTAGTAATAATTTGTTAAGGATATATATGACAATATTAAAAACAGTAAAAGAGAATTTTAACAGAAGTGCCCATCCTTCAAGGAAAATGGCGCATGTCCCCCTCCCCCCTCAAAATACTTTATTTTAATTGCTATTCTCTTCTTAAAAACATGGCAAATAAAAGTAGAATTATAAACCACCTAGTTTTGTTATTTCCCTTGTTCCTTGGTTTTGAATGTTTTCTTTAATTAAACCTAAAAAAAAAATAATTAGATTCTCTCCAAAAATTCATAACCTACTAAATGAGAGAGCCCTTAAAAATTTCGATAGTAAAACTTGGGCCATCCAACTCCTTTCTGGAGAGCATTGTTCCCAGACGATGGGACAGAGTCTTGAAACGTTGAGTATGTTACAAAATTAAAGAAAAATTCACTAGGATGAATAAGAAACTTTCACAATCTAATAATAAACTAGATTTATCTTTCCTATATAGAATAATTTATGAAAATGTATTTACTTATAATTGGTAATTGGTTGACTGTCGTGGATAATGAAGAGAAGAATAGTTGGGGTGGTAACTCAAAAAGGAAGGCAAAAGGTATTTACTTACAATTATTATTGTACATTTTTATCATGCAGATATAATTTTGGTTTATTATTTTCAATAATGAAACATTGTGATCTACCAAAAAATTCAAAAACATAACCCCCTCTCAAAATTTGAGGTACCAATCAAAATATGGTTCACGTTTCAAGATGCGTAGAATTCGAAAAACGAATAAAAATTGTTTTGTCCGTCCGCCGTCCACGCATTTTCTCCGAAACTACTGGACCGATTTTTTTTCAAATTTTGATATAAAATTAGATGTCACCCGAGGATGATCCTCCTCCATCGACATTACTCTTCGCCTTTAACTTTCAAAATGGCGGCCGAAAAGAGTTTAAGAGTTTACGAAATTTCCTAAAAAAAAAAATCGTTAAAATCGGACACTTAGGAGCAAAGATATGGTCTCCGGTTTTTTAAAATGTGTTCTACTCCAAATGTTATATCCTTGGTTTGGTTTTTAAATTTTAAATGTGTTACTGAACTAATGCTATTTTTTTTTAGCATATTACTAATGATAAGAAAAACAGTTTAGTACAATAATTGGAATCACCTTTTATTTTTTTTTTCTTTGTAACTCGGAAGGTAATGTTACTTTAGATGTATAATTGTTTGGAGATAATAAACCATTTTGAAATAATTTGCAGCGTTTTTTTTTTTTTTAAACTCGAAATATTCTATTTTTTGTTAAATTTGACAGTTAATGTAGAGGAAAGAATATTATCAAAATACAGAGGAGGAAGTGTAGTATTATTAAGAAATGATTTTTTGTTCTTCTTGAGATAGAAGGCGAATAATTTCGAGCGAAATTTTATTTTTAGTTTTGTAAAATAAAATTTATTGTTTTAACCTTATAGCCAATTTATCATTAGCATAAAAGTTCAAATTGTCTTAAAAATATTTGATTTTAAGTCTTAATTTGGTTTAGAAAATACGAAATTTTAGGTTTAAAAAGACTACGGATTGCTGAAATTGGAAATATCGTTTCCTTGAAGAATTACTACGACGAGGGTAGTTTTCCAGGCAGCCGCTCTGACCTCACCAGAACCAAGTCTTGAGAAACGCCACGAGGTCTCGACCGCTTCCATTCAGGAAAAAAAATTCAATGTTACCTTGTGATTTTCGAAATCGTTTGTGAAGAAGGAAAACAATGCTTCTCAACATTATTATTTTTTTAAGAAGGAGTATGTCTTTAACAGGCTATTGCGAGATAAATATTTACATATATTTCTTTAAATATTTCATATTGTTTCATATATATAGCATTTACTTGTTACTTCGCTTCACTAGCGGATCCAGGATTTAATTTTGGGGGGGAGGCAGCTTCAGCCCGAAAGATTTTTTTTTCATATACATATAACGATAATTAATTTGAAAAAAAAAATAAAGAAATTAACTACCTATATGGAATGGTGTTTAAGTGATTTTTAAAACCCTATTAAATGTAATCAAACGAACAAGAATACTTTGAGAGATAGTTTTTAATATTTTTTTATGTAAAATATGGTTATATTTTACCATTTTTTGGGGGGGGGGCTTCAGCCCGAAAGCCCCCTCCTCCCCCCCCCCCGTAGATCCGCCTGTGCTTGGCTTCGCACGAGTTAAATTTGGATTATAAAGACTAGTCACTATAAAAAATAAATAAAGACAAATGAAATGACATGAGAGAAACTACTTTCAGTTTTATGGCATTTATACGTATATATATATATATATATATATATGAAGCACTACGAGTAGAGGTGTCCATCCCCTCCTTCCAAGACATTTTATTAATCACTTTTTCTTAAAAACCAAGCAAACAAGGGCAGAATAAAAAAAAATGCAGATCATATACAATTAAACTTGCTGCAGTCTGTTTCATGTTTTATTCTTGTTTCTTTGCCCCAAAATGCAAGTTCAAAAATCCTTCAAAATATGCCTCCACAAAAATTTGTATGGCACAACTTGCGCTACGAAACCCCCTTTTGGGCACCACTGACCG